ATGGTGGTAGTAACATTAAGTAACACATGAGCTATCGTATTGTAGAGTTCAATATTGATTTAATTTTGAAGATGATAATACTTGATATATTGATTTTGTTGGTGGTGAAGGCGACGATAGTTGAAAGCGCCAATCACTTGAAACTTTTATGATAATGTGATAGTGGTAAAAATAGATTTTGTATAAAGTTGTTAATTTACGTTTAAATTTGTAGCATTCGAAAAATATGGGAATGCTGATATATTCACCTAAGAATTTCCCCCTCAACGGTGCCATCGGTGGCGTTTAATTTGTTTACTCCCAAAAATAAAAACAAAATCCAACCTAAGGAACAGAAAAGTAGAGAGAGAAAGAGGCGGTCGTGTTGAAGATGCGAAGTGGTCCCCACTCCATGGGGCGGATTCCAAATCGAAATTGAAATCCAGTTAATGACAGAATAGAGAATTCCGAAAAAAGAAAAAGACGCCAAACAGCAGATGAGCATACACGTCAACGGAAAGCAAAACACAATAGCCGAGACGAGACGTCCGTGTTAGGATGGCCCCAAGTATTCCCTCCGACGTCACATCATACCCCACCCTTTTACCTCTATGGCCTATTTCTCTCCCTATATATATATCTCCCTCCCCATTTTTCTATCTGTGCATCGTCTCATTTCTTATCTATATACTGACGGAAGAGTTCAGTTGAAGTTTTGGTAAATCTTTTATAATGGAAGAATTGAATAATAAGAGATTGCGAGAGGAAACAGAGGAGATTGAATCAGAAGTCGATTTCCCAGAGGTGAAGAGGCTGAGGGAGGATCTACTGGAAAGTTTGGATGAAGAGACAGATTTTTGTCCATCGAGTCAAGATCTGGACTCATTCATGAAGAGCTTTGAGGAGGAAATAACAGCTTCGCCGAAGGTGGAGGTAGAGGTGGAGGAAGTGGTGGATCTGACGTCAGATTCCGGCGAGTCTCAGCCCGAGCTGGGGTACTTGTTGGAAGCGTCTGACGACGAGCTTGGGCTTCCACCATCTTCCGCATCTCCTAGTGGGGTGGAGAATGAGCAAAGAAATGAGTTACTCCAATTTGAGTCTGACTCGTCGGAACTCAGTAGCGAGTTTTCGTGGCTGGATGGAGAAATCCCGAGTTTTGACTCGTTCGAGCTTGGATTTGTCGATACGGAGAACCATAGCGGCAATAATGGCGAATATGTAGCCCTGGACGGGTTGTTCGATAATTCGGGTATGGGTTTCGGGTCAAATGACTTTGCATGGAGACCCGAAACATCATTACCTGCACAAATCTAGGCAAAGAATATTGTAAAGGTTTCACATTTTTTTGTTTAATTTTATACTTTTTAAGCAGCAGAAGCAGAGAACGTTTTGGGATTATAAAAAATTGGATAAAAATATACTGATTTAAAATGAAATGTTTGTGTCTCCCAAAAAACTTTCTTCAATACGGAATACCTAATAACAAATTTGATAAAATTGAGTGCTTCTCCTTGTTATGCATCTCTGTTTATATACCCCCATACGTCTCAATTATACATAGGTTGATTTTTCCTTTTTTCTTACTTCAATTATATAGTCATTTTTTTATTTAAAAAATAATATTTTATTTTGTTCGTTTACTAATTTATCCTTATTTAATTTATCGTTTACTAATATATTCTTATTTAAGTTATGTAGTTATGATTAATTTTTTTCACTTAATTTTTTTCAAATTAAGGATATGCTAGGAAAATTTTTAGCAACAATTATTTTTCTATAATATTAAATAAGATTTTTTGATACGTGTGAAAAACAAAATCGGCCTGAGGGACTAAATCTTTTGTGGATTGATGAGGTGTCAAAAAAAGGAAAGTAAGAAAGTTTTTATTTTACATAATGTCATATAGTATCAATAATGTTAAAGCAACAATTTAGTTAGTCATACTTGATATGTTTAATTTAATTCAATTAAATGAATCATGAACATTGTATATTTAAGTGAACTTATAATTTAGAACCTGTTTGAGCCACATTATTTTAAAAAAAAATATTTTTAAACAGTGATTTGATATTATTTCATTCACATTCTTCAATAAAATAATATTATACGCAGATTAAAAACTTTTTCTTATTTTTTAACCACACATTTTCCATCAATACACTATTCAAGAATGCATAATTACCAAAATAATATGGTTCAAACACCTCCTTAATGTCATACAGATGTCACGTAGAGTAATGTTTAATATCAATGGTATTGAATGACATTACACTTTTTAATCCAATCAAATTTCGTTGTACAACCTATTGGTAAATAAATTTGTAAATTTTGATGTACATGTAGCATAATCAACTTCATTTTGTAATCAGTAATATTAAATATTAAAACATAAAAATTGTTGTGTAAAATTGTAATTATTGATTATTAGTTGTGTAACATGAACTTCTCTCCATCAAATGACAATTTTATTATCAGGTTTTCCTTTGAGATAAAATGAGAGAACGTTTATGTCAAAAACAACCCAAAAGTCGTACCACCACCATCCTACTGGATCATTGTGGACAATCACCACCATTAATTAAGCTAGTTGTACATTAACTTTGACACCCTTGTTAATGGTGTTAAATATTTATGGTATAAATATAAAATGTGAAAAAAATAATCAAATTAGATAAAGTGTTAAAGTGGTGGAAAATGTGGCTTCTGTGTGGGATGTCAGGGGTTCGAGTCACTCCCCACGCAGATATTAAAATGTCTTGGGCTTCCTTGACTAAAATAAATGTTTTTTTATTTTTTATTATTATTTAATGGGTAAAATTAGCCAGTATTTTCTGACTGTTTATTTTTGTAACAACTCACTAACAGTCATTAAAACACCCACTACTCAGTCATTAAAATTCTACATTAACATGGTGAAGACTGTTACTTCCGTCTTGCCTATATAAACCCATATCTCGGTTTGGAAAAATACACACAAAAAGACAATAAAAAAATCATCTTGCATCAACCCTCCTTTTCATATTCTGAATTTTTTATATTCGGGTTTTTATATTTATTTTGGAGTACAATTGAGAGTTCTAGAAAAATCATTCGTGATTGCTGCACAAGTGGTTTACGATCGTTGTATCCTGGGAGTGATTGTTCACGGAGGTCGCAGCAATTATTGACGGGCAATTTCACTTTAGGACATTGTGCTGTCATGAGACTCGATCGGACGATAAATTTTATATTTCTGCATTATATTGTTCAGATCACTACTGCAACTAATTAATTTTTTCTAACAAATGGATGGGTGAAGTGGCAAGAGTAAAAGATAATCTTGGATCATGCAAAGTATAAATTCAATAAAGCAAAGTGTCTCACAAACACAAATGACAGATCATTAAGAAACAATATAAAATGGAATCATCGCCTAGCACCCAACGCTTCGAATTGAAGAAGCTCTAGATTTTTCAATTCATTGAGTCGCTATATTCCAGCTTTCCTCAAAATGAGTGCCTCATGAATTGGGACTGAATTCCAAAAAAATAAAAATAATAATAATAATAATAAAAACAAAAAAAGGCAACCTTCTAAGCAAGGCTTTGTTCCAAATCTTGTCGTGCTTTTCTCTCGAGTATTTGAGCTCGAAATTACAGGAAGAAATCAATGAGAATAAGAACGCCAGTGTTCCCTTTAGGAAAACAAAATCCATTAATTACATAATTAAAGTAGAATGATACTATAATTACCGCGTATTAAATTCACCCAAAAATTTAACAATAGGAAATGGTACGAATTGAATATTGAGAAAAGGTTAGCAGCGAGAAGACATCACTGCGAGTAGGAATTGTTTAGGTTATTATTTAAAAACAATATTTTTAAAAATTAATTGAAACTAGTTACTAGTTGATTTGATCAATGCTAAAAGAAAAGAAGAGAATATGTTAAATATCTTTGTGATATACTCTTGTTTGGTTTCGTTAGAAAGTTGAAATAATATTTAAATCAAAGTCAATAATGATAATTTTTCAATCATGTATTCCATCAATTTTTATCAAAATTCACCAAAAATCTTGTTTTCATTTTAACCAAGCAAGGGCATAGTATTTTAGTGGTTATGAACATTACTGACTTGTTATGCTTATTGTATGATTAACCAATTCATGTTAATTATTATTTTTATTTTCAATTCAATCTTAGGGTGTATTTGAGAAACCGCAAATCGAACTAAAACCGTTGAGTTGAAACTGTTGATTTGGATATACGTGGACCCTGTTTTTTCCCCTCAAACTGAACCAAACCGTTTCAAAATTGTTTGGTTTAGGTTTTGATTTTCAAAAATCATACAAAGTCAAACCGAACTATTTTAAATTTTTTTAATTAAAACATTAATTTTATTAACTTAAAAATTTTACAATTTCACTTTACAGAAAAAATACTAAATTAGCAATACAAATTACAAACAGCCTATTAAAATAATCATAGAATGTAAATTAATTTCATCATTATTAGCCTATGATATAATAAGTTCACAACACATATCCTCATCAAATATATAAACCAAACTAAAATTATTCCAAAATCATATGAAATAAAAAAAATATATATATTTTCAACAATCCAAATCATAATTCAACAAAACTACGTTAGCAAATTAAAGTTTCAGAAGCTATAACATAAACTCCCATTTCCCGAACATTTGACGCTTGTGTTGCTACTGCTGAACGAATCGCCAATCCCATTTGTCTGTTAATCTGCTAATTTCTACCTGAACCGCCTCTTTTTTCTTTTCTTTAGATAAGTCTCAAATTCTTATTTAAGCCAATTTTCGTTGTTTTTTCTTTTATTTGTTGTTTTTAAATTTATTATACATTTGTAAATTGTGATTTGGATAGAAAAATAACTGTTTGTGTACCTAGGTGATTAATGAACTTTTTTGGTGTTTGGAAAGAACGAAGGACGGATTGTATTGATTGTGTGAAAATGTTAAAGTTTCCTAATTAGTACCACTACCTACTACTTTCATAAAGCAGTTAGAGAATAAAATTCGTCAATTTCCAATAAGCCGAAACTCTATCAATCTTTGTACATCTGAATATATCCCCGTTTAATCATAATTTAACATCTCGCTAGTAAGACAAAATGAGCTTTAATATAACTATAATAGCAAAATGTAATTTTACCTTTACCAACTGCTATATGACGATACGAATGTCAAACAAAAAAAAGTAAATAAAAATGAACAAATATGTATTTATTCTATTAACATCTTTTAGCAACCAACTTAGAAAATAATTTATTCATGATTTTTTCATGGTAAATATGAACGTAATTTAATATTTAACATTATTAGTTCTCGTTTAAACTTATATGTTAACTAATATTAAATATATTACTATAATATCGATAGACAAATCGCAAATTAAAATCGAACCAAACTGCAAATTATGGTTTGGTTCAAAAAATAAAATGGTTTGGTTTGATTTGAAAAAATTTTAAACCGTATAAAATGATTTGAGTTGAAAATATAGCATAAATTGCCCAAATCGAATCGCGTTCACCCTTATTTGACATCCATTTTTATGGAAAAATAAATTTTAGAATAGTAGAATGATAGATAATGTGTGGATAAAAAAATAAGAAATTTTTTTATTTACGTGTAATATTATTTTAATGAAAAATGTGTGGTTAAAAAGAAGATAGAGAAAAATATATTTTGATAAAAATGAGAATCAAATAGAACTTAAAAAATGAGGAAATCTTATTGATTTACGTGTAATATTATTTTATGAAAAAATTGCAGCAATGGTCCCCAACATTTCATTTTTTTGTAGACTAAACCCTAATCTTCATTTTGTGCCAGCGAAGGTCCCTAACCTTTAATAAATATGTACCTGCTGTCCATCTGAACGAAAATCGTCCAAAGCACCATTAGTTGATCGGGAAAATTTTTAAACTATCTATTACTACGACGATTTTATTGGATGTTTATTTTTTAATTTTTTCGGTCAATTGACGGTATTTTGAATGGTTTTTGTTCAGATGGACTTCGGGTGTATATTTATGAAAGATTAAGAACCTCCGCTGGCATAAAATGAAGGTCAGGATAAAATCTATAAAAAAAATGAAAAGGTTAGGGATCGTTGCTGCAATTTTTCCTTATTTTATTGAAGTATATGTGTTTGAAATAAAGTCAAATCATTATTTAAGAATCTATTTTTTTTTTTAAAGAATGCAACTCAAACAGGACCTTAGTTAGAACTTTTAATTATTGATCTTTTTATTTTTTGAGTTGAGGTCTGAACATGTCCGATAAACAATAAAAAGAATAGTGTTTTTAAAGAAAGTTTGATCGGTAAGCTTTAACTTAAATTTTGGTGTCAGATTAGTGGTAATTTCTTAACTAAATTATCCATCGTAGATAGCATGGACTCCAAACTTCCCCGTTTAGCCTCCATTTTGTGGT